AGTTTTTTTTTTTAATCTATATCTATAGAGAGCCAGTTTGGTGTAGTGGTTAAGTACGTGGACTCTAATCTGGGAGAACCGGGTTTGATTCCCCACTCCTCCACTTGCACCTGGCTGGACGACCTTGGGCAAGCCGTAGTTCTGATAAGAGCTGTTCTTGAAAAAGAGCAGTTTCTGTCAGAGCTCTCTCAGCCCCACCTACCTCACAGGGTGTCTGTTGTGGGGAGGGGAAGGGAAAGGAGTTTGTAAGCCGCTCTGAGACACCTTTGGGTAGTGAAGGGCGGGGTATAAATCCAATCTCTTCTTCTTCTTCTATATCGCCAATCGGAAGTCCCACGGGGCAAAAGCTCCACTGGCAACGCTCCCTCTAAGCTGTGGAGTGTTGTGAGCAAAAATCCTACTTTGTGAGCTCCTGGCTTTAAAGTGGCGAGCCAGCGATTTGGCTGCTGCATCAATTAGTTTGCTCTGGAGCCGTCCCTTCCTAAGTGAAGGCAAAGAGGTTCGAGCTGGTGGCTAAAAAACTGTGAGCTAGCTCACACTCACTCAGCTTAGAGGGAACACTGCCCACTGGCCCAACTCACTTTCTAAAAATACTTGGGGGGGGGGCATCAGGTACGGTGCCAGAGGGTGCCTCGGAATAGGGTGCAATATTCCCGTGAGGCAGAGGTGCTCTGCCAGGCTTTCGGCTGAGGGCGGCAACGGTTACATCTTGGCTTGGCACTTTTCTCTGTTCTCTGCTGTTCACATCCACCTCACCCCTCTTCCCCCCCTTGTCCACGAAGCAGCCGACAGTTGGAACTGGGATTGGTTAATCATTCGTCATCTAAGCATCAAGATTTTCTAACTGATTTTATCTTGCTTTGTTTTATGGCTTTTGGACATCGCCCAGAGCCCTGCTGCGGCAGGGATTGGGCAATTCATAAATGTAATAAATAATGGCCCCGGTCACACGGGCCAGATAACGCGGCATTAAAGTGTTTGGTGGCCATTTCTTCTTTAACCTGGATGTGGTTCTCAGCACTTGGAGGAAAGGAACAAAGTTTTGGCTCTACCCAGGGCTCTTTTTGTAGAAAAAGTCCAGCAGGAACTCATTAGCATAATAGGCCACACCCAACACCAGAAACTTATTAGCATATTAGGCCACACCCCTGCCAGCACAGCTCATTAGCATATTAGGCCACACCCCCGTGTTACCAGAAGTGTGGTCATCCAGCCACACCCACCTTTTGCTTGTTATTCCGTTTACCTTGTTTGTTGTCAAAATCCAGGGCCTTTTTTGTAGCAGGAACTCCTTTGCATGTTAGGCCACACACCCCTAATGTAGCCAATCCTAGTGAGTTTCTGCTATTGGGTGTGGCCTATTATGCTAATGAGTTCCTGCTGGGTGTGGCCAACTTGGGAGCCAGCCGGAACTCCGTTCCTGTGCGTTCCTGCCTAAAAATAGCCCTGGCTCTACCCAAAGAACGAGAAGCTGGCTGCAGCTCCCATTATGCTACGTAAATTAAGACAACGATCCCACCACCACCACCCCAATTCCACCTTCCAGGAATCCGAGGAGAGCACGTACATCGTTGCTGGCGTTCTTCAGCAGGTAGTCGATGATGTCGCCGCCGTGGTTGGCGTGGATGAGTCCCAGGGCGTAAAGTCCGCCCCCTTCCTGATAGGCCGAGCCGGGAGACGTGTCTTTGGGTAGGTACGTCGCCATTAATTGGAGAGCCTCCTTCTCGTGGCCCTGCAAGTTCGGAGAAAGAAAAGAAACATGGAATGTTAAAGAGTCCCGCTGGCTTCTGACGGTTCCGTTTCCAACAGTGGCCAACCAGATGCTGGTGGTGGACTTGGCACGCTCGTAAGCTGCCTTGGGGAATAGGGTTGAAAGGCGGTGGGGGGGTGGAATGTGCCATCAAGACGCAGCCAATTCACAGCAACCCCCACGGGATTTGCAAGGCAAGAAACAAACGGATGGTTTGATATTGGCTGCCTCTGAGCAGAAATCACTGGAGGTCTCCCATCCAAGTACTAACCAGGGGCAGCCCTGCTTAGCTTCCCGGATCTCACAAAATCAGGCTAGCCTGGACCATCTAGGTCAGGGCAAGTGGTGGAAGTTGCCATCAAGTCGCAGCTGGCTTGGGTGTCAAACATGTGGCCCAGGGGCCAGATCAGGCCCCCGGAAGGCTTCTCTTGGGCCCGCAGTGGAACTGGCTGTCTTCTGCTGCTTCTTCCAGCTCTGCTAAGAAGAAGTTCCTGCCTTAAAAAGGGGGGGGTGCCCGGGTAAGGAAGTCACTCCCCTGTCTATGTGCCCCTAAGTTAGATAATTGTATAAAACTATGTAAACCGCTCCGAGTCTACGGAAAAAGAGCGGTATAGAAATCTAATATGTATGTATGTATGTATGCTGCAGCTGCGTCACTGTAGGTTTGCAGCTTACAGATACACACCTGAACAGCATACTCAAGATTGCAACAGCAGACAGTTCAATGCAATAATTCAGAGCAAGAGGTGTCAGTTATCACTGTTAAATAAAGAAAATATTGCAAGAGTGCTCAGGTTTTAAGCATGTTTTTAAATTAAAAAAAAACCCTTTGTGCTCGTGTCGCTTATAAAGTTTATATCTCCGCTCCCTGGCCTTACCTTTTATGACACACACGGCCCGGCCCAACAAGGTCTCATTTATGTCAGATCCGGCCCTCGTAACAAATGAGCTCGACACCCCTGCCATAGGGTCTTCAAGGCCAGAGACGTTCAGAGGTGGTTTTGCCACTGCCTGCCTCTGCAGAGGGACCCTGGGCTTCCTTGGCGGTCTCCCATCCAAGTCCTAACCAGGTCTGACCCTGCTTAGCTTCTGAGATCTGATGAGATCGGGCTAGCCTGGGGCCGTCCAGGTCAGGGGAAGAGATGAACAGGGGTGATTTCCCATGGCCTGCCTCTGCATAGCAACCCTGGGCTTCCTTGGAGGTCTCCCGTCCAATCACTAACCAGGATCAATCTGACAAGATTGGGCTACCCTGAGTCATTCAAGTCTCAGTCTTTTATCAGTACTCAGAGACCAACAAGTCATAAGCACACAGGGAAGATTATATTAATACACAAACATCGTGAAAAGCGTAATTATACAATGTGGGAAACATAAATATGCAATGTTACATATAGAATTTTAAATCGGAGAACGATGTCATTTAATGGCAAAATTTTACTACTGCCAGAGTCACATTTGGATCAGTACCTGAGAAAAACTTCGCCACAACATTTTGTTTCGTGGCAAAGCTCCATTCTGGGGTATAGATTTTAATCCATTTATCACGAGCCATAGTTATTACAATCTATGAAGGAATGCCAAATAGTGTCTGAGTCACCAGATTTACAGTCACATAGCTGCTCAAAGGAAGAAATTCCTAGGAATCTGCCTGCTAATTTAGTCTTCCCTTGGAGAAAAGTATTCTATATTTAGGAACCCTTAGTCATTCAAGTCAAGGCGTACAGTTGAAAGATGCGGTGTAAGTATTTTAGACAATAAATAATGTGGGATTCTGGACTCTGTGGCTACCGCAAGAAACAGTTGTCTGCCACCGGCAGCCGGTCAGAAAGATCTGTCCCTCAAAAGATGGTTCATGGAAGGCACACCAGCTGCAGTGAATATGGGAATATCTAAAGGTGTCTTTTCTAATTGTGGGAAGTGACTGGGAATCTTCATTCTCTCCTCTCAGGCGTGGAGGGCACTTAACACTACATCCCCCTCAAAAAATGCAGTTATGTCAGCAGACATCCTAATATCCATTGCGTAGACACCGGGAAAGGGGCCAGAGAGTGCCCCGGTGCCCCCCTGGGCACCACGTCAGGGACCCCCTGTTGTAATGGGTTTGAGTCCTCTGACTCCGGTCCACGAGTTGAGAATACATAAGTGAGGACTGAATGTAATGAGCATATGTAATGAGACAAAAAGCCAATATCCCTGTTGAGTCCTGGGGAGGTTCTCCTATTAGGATAGATTTAGATCTAGCCTAATCTCCCTGACGGTCTGTCCCAAGCAACATTTCAAAAAACCTGCTTTTCTGTGCAATCTGTCGTAGGTCAATGTAAAACTGTAATGATTAATCTTCTACATTTTCAGGCAGCAGCTCTGCTTAGCACAGTGGCTATAGGTGGCACTCAGAGCCCTCTCTGTGGGCACGCGTGCCATCGCCCCAGCCAGGCCCAGACCACCATTAAAGTGTTGAATTCTCTGCCAAATAATTTTAAGTAAATGAAAGCATTTGGGATTGCTTCCCTTACTTTGTTTGGATCATCTTAAGTTAATGTAGGAGTTGTTTTTTCTAAAGTAAAACCTCAGTATTCAGGTTCAATGGCCGTGTTGGCACTTTGCGATAAATAAGTGGGTTTTGGGTCGCAGTTTGGGCACGCGGTCTCTAAAAGGTTCGCCATCACTGGCTAAGCGTATTGCTTTAAACAATTTTCTTGCATTCATACAGCTTACTTTTGGTCAGGCGGTGAAGACCCTTGTGCTGTGGCGGCAGCTGCTGCTGGAGCAATTTTTTAAAAAAAACATCTGCGCAGCTCATTGGAAGCTCTGCTGGGCAGAGGCCCAAACTGGCCCCCGCTCACTTTCTAAAAACACTTGGCAGACACCGGGAAAGGGGCCAGAGAGTGCCACGGTGCCCCCCCGGGCACCACATCAGGGACCCCCTGTTGTAATGGGTTCGAGTCCTCTGACTCCGGTCCACTAATGCCTGGACCTTTCCGCCGGCAGAGCACATCCCTTCTGCCGGCTGCACACCGCAAAGGTGGACGCAGTGCCCATTCTCTTGGGCTAACCATGCAGCAGCTGATTTGGTGATTACCTTATGGATGACGCCCAGGCTGGCCGTGGCGGTAAACTTGGCCCAGTTGGTGGCCCTGGCCAGCCACTCCAAGTTATCTCTGCGAAGAGAAAGGGGCTGGTCATTATCAAGTCCGCAGGGCCTGCAAGACGGAGCTCTTCCGCCGGGCCTTTGGCTGAGGTGGCGGATCTCTCTATATGGCCTCCCTGAGGTGGCTGTCACCTGTCCATCTGTTAATCCAAACAATAGGCTAAAGAAGCATACAGCCAGTGACAGTCAGAAGCAGTGTTCCCTCTAAGCTGAGTTAGTGTGAGGTAGCTCACAGCTTTTTAGCCTCCGGCTCACAGATTTTTGTCTTCGCTCAGGAAGGGTGGCTCCAGAGCAA